CGCAGCAAGTTCATATAAAATCTATGACCCGTCACACACGGGTACGGTAGTTTTCTGTTCGAAATTTTGCGGGCATAACGGTATTCCGTATGTGCGTGGCCGATCCGTTCGGAATTCCGCAACGGAATCCTTAAACGGAATTTCGTATGTATGTATGTGGCCGGCCTAAAACTACATTAATTGCTCAGATTATGTCGTGCCGCCGAACGAAGACATTGGTTCTGATACGGAAAGTTACTAGACGTTTGGGAAGGTTCCTTCCGTACGCTCCACTTAATAATATGAAGTTAGAAAACTGGCATGTTTACATAATTTTATTGTAACATTTTTTTTCATAAAACAGTCTTATGTTTCCACCTTTTTGTAATGTAAAATGTTTAATTTTCAATAGCAAGTAACTTTTGTCAGGCATAGTATACGCAGATTGATCTAAAAATTAGATTTTTTTTAAATAGAAAGCAAAGAATTTTTCTAAGTTATACAGTTATTCTATCAAGTTAACAAGATTTTTTTAAACTTATAGTATAATGTACTAGATATCTATAAATATTATTAAATGGCGAAGGTGTTGTAAGGAAATACTCAGTTTGAAGTACACTGTCAAATCTACGTCAGTAACGGCCACCGGAAGTTACATAATTGCCGGTAACCGATCGTGAATTACTGGAGGTGTTAACAGGTTAATAACACTCCTTGACCCCCTGGACCTTTTGATCTTAACACCAGGGTTTAATTTACGGTATTACGGTCATATAATTTTAATGTAATTTGAATACACTAGTGCGTGAACTTTAGTTAACTTAAAACATGTTTAGGATTTATTATGCCCGTATTTATGCTTTCTTCGTTTTTATAGGCGCATGTATGGATGGCGCAAGTAACTTAAATAGGAAAGAAAAGAATAATATTACTTTCTCAACCGATTTTAATCGTATTTGTATTTATTTGTTTTATAATATTAACCTATTTCATACCAAATTCTTCTTCAAAATGTATACGTAACATGAAGGTAACTTTAAAACAGATTTAAGAAACTGTGTCATGGTCGCGGTGACTTACGAGACGGGTAGGTGAACGAGCTGGGGCGACCGCGACAGCTGAGTCGGCGACAATAAGCGAAGACGTCCCGGGGCCATTGTTCAGCTCCGAAGTGTCGGGACGGACGACAAAAGCACCCTATAAAGGAGGAGTCTTAGCGCGCACCTGGCGTTACGACCCTAAGCTATCTAAGTCGATATTTAGTTCTACCTTCATTGATTCCAATACCGTTATTCCCAAGATCAATCGCCGCCTTTTCATAGATTTTACTTAGCCTACTTTAAAGAGTTTCATATGTATATATTAGCATTCTTTAAAAGTAAAAGTAATCGAATCGGACGTCATAAGTCACATCGTAACAGGCTGCATTTGCCTAAACCAAATTATACGTGAAACTGAGCTTCGCCTATGTGATTTTTTGTTCGCTATGTTGCTAGTGCTTCAATCTCAACGAAGTCATAAAAGTTTAGCAGGGGATGTGTCGTGTTGAATTACGACCGGTTTCGAATTAGCAGACAGTGATTTAAACTATTTGCAACCCTTGCACTTTCAGCTGTCTATTTTTATCCGGTAAGGATTCCCGTATGGGGTGAGACAGGTTTGTCAAACGAAACTTAACGGTTCCTGATGTCTGTTAGATATTTAGTTGCTTCGGTAATTAGAAGGGTAAGACGCGAGGGTGTCTTAGGTTGTTGAGCTGTTCGTGCATAGTAGCAGCAGATGTTGGATCCAACTGTCGGCCAACCTGTCGCCCAACCGACCGCGCCGCTTCGATGCCCGCGTTGGTACAGATTACGTCTGATATGGTGTTCACTCGTTTTGAGGTTTTAAATTTTAATGTGTTGTTTAGGGAATGATTGTGTGTAGTAAACTTGTTCAATTGGATAAGTTTATATGAAACAAAAACTATGATCTAAATACTGATTTCAAAATATTTTTAACACTTAGTACATTACATAAGAATTTCAGTTAATTGATTTGATTAATTCATTTTACTTCAATAATGTTATTGAAAAATAATATTTCGCAAGGTTCTAATCTTCTAATAAATCAGGGTTATGTATTGTTGTTAATTTGCATTGAAATCCTGTAATGTCTTGTACCTAATAATTTAAGCTAAGTTGTTGTTGCTTAAAGACATTGCAGAGATCGGGAGATATAAATATTATTCCGTAAAAGCGGTTATAAAAGGTTGAGAAATGTTAGTTATTTAAAAAAATAATATAAATAAAGGTTAAACGGTCAGTAACCGTAAATATGCACGTTAAACGGAACGGCGCATAGTTTCCTTTTACAGTCTGTATAAATAAAACAACACTTTCAACGATTTATCCTATTAATAACGAAGCGGACAAGCTTGAACTTAGACGGCGTAATAACTAAGCAGTTTTTCTGATTAAAACTTATGAAGAGTTCGCATGTTTCCATATTTTTTCTTAAAACGTATTTCTAGCGTGAAGAAAAGTATAAGGGCATGATAGCTAGGAAGCGTGTAGGTGGGCAGTGACCCCACAGTGAGACGTGAAAGGGTCGCGCCAGGTGTTGCCACATCTGCCGTCTTGGCCTGCCCTAAACCTACACCCAACGCTAGGTAGTTAAGACGTCTCGCTTGACTACGTTCGCCGTTATAATAAGGTAGCAGTGCAGTGCTCTTAATACTGCTCGTTTTAGCAATGGGGATTAGGATTATTGACTACATTCTATACTTATATATAAAATATAACACAAAAACTACGGTCAATTACCTATAAAAGAGAATTAATTTAAGAAAAACATTTAAAAAAAATTGAGAAATGACCAAATAGAATAAGAATCGTAAAAAGGATTTATTGCTGTACGTAAATAAGTAGGTATTATGTATTTACTATGATAATTATTGAAATTATTTTTTTGTTAATCCAAGGAACCATTTTAAAAGATATATGAGTATACATGTGTCCAAATATGTCCTAATATGTCTACATTATAAGAAAAACGTAATAATTCGACTGAAATAATAAAATTTAATTAAATATCCTAAGATCAAATGTAAGATATAGGTACATTGGACTATAATGTAATCTAACTGATTTAACGAAACTTACTTTGTTACCTACCTCATTGATCAGACGGTTACTAGAAGCCCACAAACCTAAAATCAAATTTGGCTTACACCGTATACCTACTACGTTCGCGAAATTGCAGCTGCGCCCTTGGCTAACAAACTTAAGATGTAAATTACCTACCATTATTCCCAATCCATTGTCCTGAGGTAGGTACGTACAAAGATGCAGACGGGGACAGCATGCACGAATCTGGCAGCTGCCAAGTTCTCCTTCCTTATTCTCAAACAACAATGAGCGACTTGTATTGTGCAAAATGTAACGCGACGTTCCTATTAACATCGGCCCTTATAGGGATTATTTTGTGATTTTGGGGTCATAAATTTTAAACGTTTTCAAACTTTTACACTTCGTAATGTTTATCTGTATAAACGTAAGAAAGTTGTAATTGGTTGTTTAGTCCCACTGAAGCATTATGAGTTAAAATAAAACGTGTTTCTTAAAGTAGTTAAAAAGAAATTTGTGTAATATTGACATTAACAAACCTCAAAAGATTTCTGGCCTTTTCTACCGACTTCAAAAAGGACTCAATTCGACTGTATGTTTTTTTATGTGTGTTACCTCATAACTTTTTTCTGGGCGAACCGATTTCTATGATTCTTTTTTTATTTAAAAGCTGGTGCTTCTCATGTGGTCCCATATAAATTTGATCAAGTTGTGCCCAATAGTTTTTGAGTCATCCTTAATAATATATATTGAAGTCGGTTGTACAAAACTTTTAATTTTAAATTAAATCTGATCGTGTCTGATTTTATCGCGATGTCTCGGATCGGATCGAATGTATGTATGTCTATTTCTTTTCCACGATATGTACCATAAATGACTTGATGGATATTAACCTATGGGGTGTAGTTGGAAGTACAAGGCTAGAAATGAGTTGGGGGGTGACTCAAACTTTAGGCCTAGTCAGTTTGAATAGCCTATCATGTAGAACATGTCATGGGGGGTCATGGTTGAATAGGGGCTAAAAGATCTCATTACACTCCTAGGGCGTCAAAATGGCCAAAAACCAAAAAATTGGGGGGGGGGGGGGTTAAAAAGTATAAACTAGCAATAGATTGGTAAACAATATAATCGTATTACATATTCGTACATACATATTATAATAGTGTTGTAAATGAATGTATGTGAGCGTAAGATGGACGCAAGGACGATAGGATGCAAGGTGCTTATGCCACCTGTCCGTTATACTCGTAATTATCCTGCAACAGATGCGCACCTACCTGCGCCGCGCTAGAGGCCATCGCATCGTGACTCGTGAGGCCATTCGATATTCGACTTCTTAAATATGTGGACTCTGTTGGAAAGGATCTGTGCCTGAAAGATGTTTAAATTTAGAATTAACCTTTCTAATGCTGTCACAATGATGAATCGCTATAAACTTGATTATTATTTTGATATGTAAATTCCAATTTCTTCGAGATATAGGTAGGTACCTACTACCTACCTACTTTACTTTTCCGTTGTCGTTTTAAGAAGATAATTTCAAAATTTCTTCGTTGAGGCAAAGAACCAAATGTCTAGAAAACTGTATTTATCTATTTAGTTAATTTTTGAATACTCCTACAATTTTTATTGCCGAAAAATTCAACTTCATCAAAATTCAAAATTTTTGCTGCAATAAATATACTGTACTCATATGTCTCTCAGAGCCATTATTTAGTTAGACTATATAATAATTCTTTTTAAATATATTTAATCTTTCTATTATATTGTAATTTGTAATTTATAGTTAACAATGAGAAATCACTCCAAAAAGCATAAGCAAAAGTTTATGTATTTTTTGTGAAAATTAAAAAAGAGTCCGATACGTTTTTTTTTAAATATTACATTACTAAAAATTTATTTTCTTGTCAACAGAAACGGAGTTTCTCTTGGTGCCGCCATCGCTAATCGCGGCCGCTTGTATAACCGCTGCGGCGCGTGGTTTGAGGGTAAGGATGTCTGTGAACGATCTGTGTGCAATGACCCGAGCTCCCGCTGCGGCCGCCGAGCTGGTGGCACGACACGTGGAGCGAGTGTTGGCCAGAGAAACGCAGCCCCAAGAACCCAGGACACGACATCTTCAGCCTATCAAACAAACTACCCCCGAGCAGACACAATTGCCCGATACTCCCACCGACGTCCAGGACGTACACTTCTGACAAGGGCTACTTGTAAATGTTTTGTCCGTTCTGCAAAAAGTAATAAATCTGATTCTGAGTCTAAGGCTGTAAACTGATGTTACATCAAGCAAATCAAGGCAAAGGCAGGTTAGGTAAAGTAACTCATATTACACATTGCATTTAATTTATATATTTCTCGTTTAAATTATATAATTAAAAGAGATGAAGTACTAAACACGAAGGTAGAATTCAAAAAATTGTAAATCTTAAAAAAAATAAACCTTAGAAACTTTTCCGAAACTATCGACTCTAAATTCAAAATAATGTTATTGTAGTGTTTTAATATTAATTCTAATCTAACCGCATAGAAAAGAAATTGATCTCACCGGTAGTGAAGAAATTAATCTGCTCACATTGTCAGCAGCCATATTTTTTATGTTGCACACCTGGTTGTGCGAGTCTGAGGATACTTTTTTTTTGCTATATATCCTCTCGCACGGTTTTAGTAGAATTGTACAATGATCTCAAATTATTTATGTAAAATATTGCTTTAGGATAGATTAACGTTATTTATTGATTGTGTATTGTTAATTTTGTATTATAGTTCATTTTAGTTTGACGTCACACTAATAGGTCATTCTTGTAAATTTGATCTCCGTCGATTCCAAAAAGTGTTGATTTAAGTTAAAATGCACATGATTAAGTCACTTTTCAATTAAGCGATAAGAAAACCGACTGCGAATTTTTTTCAGAATTATTACATTTATTTATTAAGTTATTGATGATTTAAAGGACAATAAATGATTAGGTACCTACCTTAAAATGCGTACGGTGTACGTTATTATACATATTATATTAATGTATGTAAATTAAATATGTGATGAATTCCGTGGAGCAGTAAAGCAGCAGTCGGTGTAAAAAGGTTTTTGGAGTGCCGAAAATATGCTTTAAATGTTGACATCATAGGTGTAAAGCGTGTCACACACTACGCAGATACGATATCTGTATCTGAGCGCATATCGTTCAATATCGCTCTCTATGAAATTCAATGAACTAACACAAACAGCGCAGATAATTTATATTTTATCTTACCATCTAATATCAAAAGATGGTGACAAGTAGATAAATACAGAATGGTCGCTGAAAAAATACGATTAGATTCGCCTTGGTCCTATTTAAGCTTCATATGATGTTCTCTCCAAATTCTTCGCCTTTTAGTAAATGGTAATGTAACACGTGCATCAAAATCAAAATTTGAATCCTATTCTGACGAGCTGTCTGACAAATCTAGAAGCAATATACGCCATTGTAGGTAACACTGTATAAACAATCCGCTTCAAAAAACACGTTTTGTAAGTTTGAAGGACTTCGAGTGAATGTATCATTTAGTATATTATCGTATCTGCGTAGTGTGTGATACATTCAGATAAATAAGTTTTTATACGTAGATAAAATGTTATCGTATCTGCGTAGTGTGTGATACATTCAGATAAATAAGTTTTTATACGTAGATAAAATGTTATCGTATCTGCGTAGTGTGTGATACGCTTAACTGAAGTGTTTGTATGTGTGTGTGCGCAGGAGTGCTTCTTTGTATCGTCGTTCAGATCTCACATTGTAGGGATGGGTAAAGGGAAAAAATATATCGATATATATCGAATCTATATTTTTAACCAGTATCGATATATATCGCGTGATAAATATCGATATATCGATATATCGTCATCATTTGAATGATGTAAAGATAAGGTTCAAAATTTTATTTACTGACGGTTGGACGACGAAAAAAAAACGATACAACATTTTAAAATATATCGAAATTGATACGAATTCGATACTTTAAAATAAATATCGATATATCGCGATTTAAAAAATCGACATTAAATATCGATATAATTATTAAAAAATATCGATATTTCGATATATCGACATTTTTTACCCAAGCCTATCACATTGTATCAAGTTCAAAATGAATTGTGCACTGTAGACACAGCGGAAATGTATTTAGATTTTACGAATTTCGAGTGAAAATGTTGAGATATGTAATATTTATTTAGGTCGATGTTAAGTTTTAGTAAATTCTAGTCACATGTTTTACACATTCCTGTTTTCGACCAAACTAGTGTTTAAATATTAGTTAATTGAGATGTACTTAGGTTTAGTTGTGGAGGTATATATTCGCTTTATGTTTTGCCTTTGAATTAAAAATTAGAGGAAACTGTTTATTTAAAATACTCGTGGTGAAGAAGGGCGAATGTATATTTCAGCGTATAGTAAAGTGTTGTATTGGTAATTATATTGTGTAACAGCCTTGGGAAGATACTTCAAGCAGAGGTATCGAGGTGCATCGGAAGGTTTGTAATTATCGTTACGGACGTTAATTATACGAATTAAAACAATTAATGGACGAGCTTTTTTGACTTTCTATATGAATTCTTTCGTAGCGATACGTTGAGTTTTCATTTTTATATTACATTAAATTCTTAGTGTAGTGAATATGTAGAAAGCTTTCATACTACCTAGTTGTTCTCACTTTTCCGTTGATTAGGTTGTTGTTGAGATTTTCATACACAAATAAACAAAATCATTTTATAACCTTGTCCTGTAGCTTAGTTTATGCTCTCGGTACTCTTCACGATCATGTTTTACGAAATAGGAAGAATAGTGAAGACTTAACAGATAACGATAAATAAAGAACACCGAGCTTAAACGTAGCGAATCAAATGCTGCGATAAATATTTCTAAGTTTTGTTTTATTCTTGTCCATCAATGGTTTTTACGTAAAGCAAGCAGTTTGTGTAACAAATCATAAATCTTCGTTTTATTTTATATTAGCTGTTAAGACTAAGAAATGTAGTCTACTATTTGGGTTTAAATTAATGTACAATTTTGGTGGATATTTTGTAAAATTTATAAAACCAAATAAAAAATAAAAATTAAGCCGACTTCTTGCCTTTTATTTATTAAGGAGCATTTTAATTATTTAATAAATACGTTCTCAGAAATAAAAAATGAGGAAATAAATTGACCGCAACTATAAGTGTAAAGACTAAAACCATATTGTTTTAAAGAAATCACATCTTATTGTGGGGGTTCTGTTATGTTTTGGGCAGGAATAAATTCGTTGGATCGTACAGATTTAGTCTTCATCGTAAACGACACACTAACTGCACACCAATACATAACGGAGGTTCTTATTTCTCATGCACAACTCGCATTGAAACTAAATTAAGTAAGAAAACTAAATTTTTATGGCAACAACGCGTACGCCCACCGGTCTGGCGATGTGGAAACATACTTAGGTACCTATATGCTAGAGGTCGTAATTCATCGTTTGGATTGACCAGCTCGAAGTACCGACTTAAATCTCATATAGCATGTCTAAAGACGTTCTAAAGCGACGAGTGAGATCAGTGCAGCCTACTCCGCAGGCCATCAGAGAGCTAAAGAGAATGATCACCGCGGAGCGGAGTGGGAATGTATATCACAAGAAACCATATATACTCGCCAGCATGCCCAGATGAATGCAAGCTGTCATTTCAGCAAGAGAAGGAAGGAGTGTCAACTCAATACTAAACTTTTATTTACTTTTACATTATTAACCGATTCGCGGCCGATTCATGACACGCCTGGCGTGTCAAGAACATACATGTAAAAGTAATGTTCTTTTTATGCTTTTTTCACTTCTTTAGACCTAATTAAGTTTAGTTGACTTCAAACATAAGTTACAAACGGAAGAATACTTGTTTTTAGTGGGTAACTACGTGTTTTTTACGTGTTTTCTTTTAAATTTAGAGTGACTTTTTTATGCAGAGATTACAAACCTTTTGTACTATTTTTTGTTTTATAAAAAAATAATTAAAAAGCTACACACCCTACTACAGCTAAATCACCCTGGAAAACCTTGGCTTTTATTAAATTAAATTTTCACCTAATAATAATATCTGTAAATATCAAACAATCAAGAACCTTAATTTGGAAAAAAATAAGGTTTATGATGGATTGACTATTAGTGAACTTTTTTTATGCATGAACGGTTTCGAACTGTTTCAAGCAAAAATAAATCTTATACCATATCACAAGAGCACATGGTCCTTCGTAGGTCTATTCGACCATATGATAGTAATAAGACGGCAGTTCAACCATTTTAAGCAAAATTAAACAATAAGACAAACGTATTGTTTTCTTTTAACAGGAGACTTGTTTTCCGGAAATTTATTTACAACATGAATTTGTGAATGATCGCAATGAGTGCTATTATTTGTTACTTATTAGACTATTTTTCCACAACATAATTTAAAACCCACAAAGTAAAAATAGTACAATGTACACGTTAAAAAAAGGTTGTCAACCCCTAAAAATTTCAAATTTTCAAAATATCCAGAAACAAAGCTGCGGACATGAACTACTTGCAAAATAATGAATATTTTGTTGTGGATAAATCTTCCAAAAAAATTTTTAAAAAGACACGACTGGCGTGTCATACGCCACACACAAAGTAATCGATGGCACTCCTGGCGTGCCACCCGCACTGAACCGGAAGAAAAAACAAACAAAAAATATGTTTCATTTTTATTTAGCGAGCAAGTAAGCTTTGAACTTTAACATGCTTTCTCATTAATTTAGTAAAAATGTTATGATAAAACAATAAACAGGCCGTGTAGTGGCGGTGTAAGAATATCCAATACCTCATATCGTCCCGTGGGTGTCGTAAGACGCGACAGAGATAAACTAAAACAAAATATGGGCAGCAGCGTCTTCCTGATAACAACTCAAAATAATAAAAAACTGCCGTTGACAACCCGCTTGCTAACAGAGGGAACTATGGCGAATATTCCCCCTATGAGGTAATCTATGGGGGAGGCCTATATCCAGCTGTGGACTTAGATGTAGGATGTAATGGATGGATGGAACTGACGAAAATTATTTCGTGCAAATTAATTATTTTTGAAAATTTTAAACAATCTAATGATAACAATAAATTTGGTTCTTTGCTTAGATGCCCTTTTTTTGCAAAATAGTTAAAAACAATTTTGTGGTTTGGATTAACTATTATTTATTCTGTGTTACTTATTACTTATTAGTATCACAATACTTATTTTAAATTATTAATATACTAAATATAAAACCGGTACCGGTGTCGCCTCACGGCATCGTCAGGATAGAACGCCGATCATATGTAAACATACCTGCAATAGATATATGAATAATATAATTTGAGCTTCGATTTACTACTGTAAATAAATCGAATGTTTGTTTTCGAATCGACTTTCGTTTAGAACTTAAAAACTACTGCTAACTCATCAAAATCAAGTTACGATTAAGTGGTATTAGTGCCGTTTACCACATCCGGCAGATTATATCACAGGCAAATTCTTAACTTGAGTTACATCGATGAATATTGCAGAACATAATATCATAATCATTACTATCATCATTACAGCCCTTCATAAGTCCACCGCTTAAGATAGGCGTGTCCCAGTCCTGCCATTTAACCATATATGCCATACCACAGCCGTCCTGAGAACGGGATTTAAAACAATAGATATTAAGGATATTCCTCTGCCTCGGATGATTCACCTCTTGAGTAGGCTCTTAACCTATCAGAAAATACCATCTTTTGGCAATTTAACCTGCAAGCGGCTCATCCTGCTGATTAAAGATCAAGGCTCTGGAGACAGATAGATGGGAGAAAACTCCTCCATAAATACTGTAAATTTCTGAAGACTGTTGACCTCATTGACTAGTTTCGATAAAGTTTGCTATAGCTGGAGAGCTCCTCTGGTTATAGCTGAAACTTCTCTGGATACAGCAATTTAGCAAGAATGCCATTCTTACGCTATATCCAATCGTGTCTATGTATTGGATTTGAATATCTGAATTTGAATCTATATGTTTTAATATCTATCACTTAGATATTTAGATATCTAAGTGATAGATATCCAGTTTCTATATTGTTACAATAAATCTCAAAATATATCTTAGCTTATAGAAATGTATAAATGTAAACACAGAAGTGACAACAGAAGAAAAACGGCGTATTGATTACATTGAATACTCGTTTTTTGTAAACTTTTTTGTATCTTTGATGCCTGCACGTGTACCTACACGTGTTAAAGTTTCCTATTCAAAATTGTGCTATGGAACTTCATCCATTTAACTTTTTATTAACCTGGAGTCCAACATGGTACAAGAAATATATTGGGTAGTTTAGGGTTTACTTGCATAAATTAAGAAATTTAGTTGTGTGCTCTTCTTTTCTATCGATTTCAAAAAGGAGACGGTACTTAATTTGACTGTTTATTTTTTTATGTGTGTTACCTCATAAGTTTTTACTGGGTAAACCGATTTCGATAATTCTTTTTTTATTTGAATTTGATCAAGGTCTGACCAAAATTTTTTGATTTATTCTTAATAATTTATATTGAAACCGGTTGTACAAAGCTTTTAATTTTAAATTATGTACACGTACATTAAGGGTGACAAACTAACACAGAATCCGCCTGACGTTGTACTGTGGCCCAAAACATCTACATTTATCCTTCATTAAGCGTTAAAATGCAGACGCGATGTCACCCCTAAACACTAAGATGGAATGTCTTGTATCCAGTATAAAGGATCTCCAGTTCTCCACACTCACCTTACGAAGCACATTAGAATTAAGTTGCTATTTTACGCTGGTATTCGAATATAATAAGAGCGAGCTCCTTCCCCGGTCGAGCCGACCCATTCGTGCTACAACCATAATGTAGCTGCAGCGTAGCTCTACCACCTCAGATCATAGAAATTCTATGATCTGAGTCTACCACATCAATCCTCTTAACCCTTAATAACCTAGAGTTTCAATTTTGATACCAATCTTTTAAACCGAATGTTCACATTACTATTAGTTTTTTTTTATAGGTTGGCTGTTCGTATTTTACTGTTGTATAATATTCTTTCCAACGAAATTGAAAAAAAAAGCAAATGTCATTATTGTTTTATTTTATCTATGACATATTACTTGCGCGGCAAAGTGAACTTAGACACATTTTACTAAAAGTTTTGTTGAAAACAAATTTGATATATTTTCTTTTTCTAAAGAATATAAATACTTTTGAGGTAAGTGAATATATTATTTTCGCTATAATATATTTACTTTTTGCGAGTGCATGATTTACTTGAAGAAACTAGTGCTATTTTTGTGAGTATCAATTTTGATACTTCGGGCATTCCGATCTACATAAAACCTAACTACTAATTCTTTAGCTATAAAAACTTTTTGAACTTCCGTTTCATTATTTTTCTGCTTAGCTTGGTGTTGGGATTACTTTTATTTTTATTTTATTATAGAAATTTATCAAAAATGCGACCAGAAGAGATTGAGAGCATATTGATGCGGTTAAAAAATGGTGAAATTTCGGAAGACGATTCCACCGACAATGAAGATGACATAGACTATTATTCGAGCCAAAGAGATCGCCTGATGGAGCTAGAAGATGAAGAGGATGTAGGTAATTTTCCCACTGACCTAAACTTGGATGCAGATCTGCCTGTAGCAATCGTAGATACCGACATGCAACATAATTTAGAGACTGTTGAACGAAGCCCAACTCCTACAACCAGCAGCCAGAACAACCCGCAAACTGCACCTTTCAACTCTAGAAGCTTAGTGTGGAGAGTAAAGAATATGGACATAGTCCAAAATGCTTTCCAGTTTCCTGGAAACACTGAGTATTCACAAGAAATTATGAACTTAGACACTCTTTTTCAGTTTTTTTCTTATTTTTTCGGTGAAGAAATTTTAAGATTTCTAGTGGACGAGTCAAATAAATATGCCTTCCAAAAGAATCCCAACTTTACAGAACCTGTAACTGTCTTAGAATTACGCAAATTTATTGGAATTCTTATTTTTACTAGTGTATATCATTATCCCAGTGTCAGGTCATACTGGTCAAACATTACAAAGTTTGAACCCATAGCACAAACAATGAATCGCAACAGATTTGATAAAATTCGACAAATTTTTCACATGAATGATGACTCTAAACATTTGCCCATTGATCATCCCCAGCACGACCGACTGCATAAAGTAAGACCAGTGATAGACTATTTGAACAAGAAATTTATTACTGTACCATTTGAGCATCGTCTATCACTAGACGAGCAAATGTGTTCCACTAAAATTAAACATTTTATGAAACAATACTTACCCAACAAGCCCCATAAGTGGGGATTCAAATTATACGTTTTATGCTCTCTGTCTGGGTATGCCTACAGTTTTGAGATTTACTCAGGAGCTAAGGACAAAGACCGTTTACCTGGCGAGCCAGACCTCGGACCTGTATCGAATACAGTTATTCGATTGTTACGACCAGTACCAAGGCACGTCAATCATATAACTTATTTTGACAATTTTTATACGAATATTCCTCTGCTACATTACTTGACCAACGAAGGTATTTATTGTCTTGGAACAGTACAGAGAAACAGGCTTGGAAAGTCGTGCAAGTTGCCGGAGAAACGGGAAATTATGAAATCTAACGTACCCAGAGGAACATATCACGAAAATGTGGCCTTTCACGAAGGCCAAGAATTTTCGGCCACAAGTTGGAAAGACAACAAACAAGTTCTATTACTTTCGACGTATGTTGGCGCTGAACCAGCGGATACTATAACCCGCTACGAAAAAAAATTAAAGGCCAATGTTCAAGTACCATGTCCTCGGGTCATAAAAGAATATAATGCACACATGGGCGGCGTTGATTTGATGGATAGCTTCATTGGTCGATATCGCATCCGGATAAAGTCGAGAAAGTGGACAACGAGGCTCTTCTACCACTTGTTAGACATGACTGTCATCAATGCTTGGGTACTATACAAAAAGGTAAACACAGTGAAAGGAAAACTTCAGAAGAACATTATGAAGTTAGCAGATTTTAGAACTGAGCTTGCCGATACTTTATGTAGATATCAAAGTCACTCGAAAAATAAAAGGGGAAGACCCAGTACCAACAGTCGACAAGACACTACAGTACCTTCTAAAAGACCCCGGACAGGTGTACAAGTATTACCCTCTACTGACGTGCGTTGCGTTGTATTGGTCATGAAAAAATATTTATGGATTCTAGAAATAAGTGTAAATTTAATAATTGTAGGAAACTTACCTCCTGGTTCTGTAAAAAGTGTAAAGTGTCGTTATGCGATAATAAAAACAATCAATGTTTCGCATTATTTCATGCATAGGTATATCTGATTTCTTTATGGCCTTAATACCTGAAGTATCAAAATTGATACCTGTTTTTTTTTCTAAATAAATATGTAAAATTAATATTGTGATTTTTTTAGCTATTTTTCCCTTCATCTAGACCCACAAGCAAACACATTAATATTTTTAAAAAAATCACTTTCGTAAATCAGGCTACTAAGGGTTAATACATGGTTTTCTCCAATCAATAATATTTTAAATAAAGTCTTAAGAAACCTGGAGATATCATGATGATCTCTTTTCATTATCATTAAATTACAGCCCTTTACAAGTCCACTGCTAAACATAGGCCTCCCCCAAGGAATGGCACAAAGCACGGTCCTGAGCCACTTGCCTCCATCGACTTCCTGCATGTCTTACCAGGTCATCACTCTATCAAGTGGGGAGCCGCCCTACATTTCGTCTACCGGTACGAGGCTGCAACTCGAGAACCTTTTTTCCCCCATCGGTTGTCGGTTCTTCGAGCTATATGGCCGGCATACTGCCACTTCACCTTACTAATCCGTTGGGCTATGTCGGTTACTCTGGTTCTACTGCAGATATCCTCATGTCTAAGTTTATCACGCAGAGAAACCCCGAGTATAGCTCTCTCTATAACTATCGATAAGCGAACTTAAGCTTCCTCATACGGCCAGCAGTGAAGGACCACGTTTCAGATCCAAAAGTCATCACTGTCAACACGCACTGGTTGTACAATATTGTTTTTAAGTTTTGAGATATACCTGATGAAAAGATGTGTCATAAATCATAATTTACCGAACGCTGCCCAGCCGAGTTGAATCCGTTGCGTCGATTGACTACTCGGTCGAAGTTGGACTTACCTAGTCGGACTATTTGTCCCAAGTAAACATACTCGTCAACAACTTCGAGCTTAGTGCTCCCAACAACTACCGGCATAGTTGTGAGATGGACGTTACACGTGATCTTTGTTTTGTCCATGTTCATCTTCAGACCTATCCGTTGGATCCTCCAGTGATTCTGCCATAAGGACTATCATCATCAAAGCAAAGGGGAGTGATGTACCTATTTGTCATCGATGTTAATAGCGTATCCTTTCAGTCCAGTACCATGAAACCGTTTTCCAATTTCCAATGCAGCGGTGAAGAGTTTCGGAGATATAACGTCACCCTGTCTTACACCTCTCTGTAGCTTGATAATTTTGATAGCTCACTGTAGGGATGGGGTGGTGTATAATCGTTAATGAATCTATTAGATTATTATTCTCATAGAACTTGCAATCGATAGTTGCATTTTTCTGCTGAATGGATTTGGAATTTAGAACAATTTTTTATCTATTGAATTAATAATAAATTATTAATACGATAATTATTATCGTTATTGTGGGAGGGATTTTATTATCGGATAGTAAAATCCCTCCCACAATAACGATTTCGCGTATATTTTTTTCGGTCAGTCAGACTATTTAGTAGAATGACTTTACTACATCGCCATCTATCGGATTTTAGCAAAGCTAGAGTTATCATCTAGTCCACACAAACAAAAGGTATATTGTATTGTGTGAACATGATATTATATAGTGTATTATTTATGACCTCACTCGTCAAGTCGTTTCAAAATTTACGCGATCACTAAAATACACACTAATTATTATAAATTATAACTGGCTGGCTCGGCAGAAGTGGTTCTGCCCGTTTTAGACACTCTTTCTGGAAACTCGTAAGAACTGCCAGGGGACATTCAAAATAGCCTAGAATGAATACTATACGAGACCAGAATGGCTGTATTCTGAATGACGAAGTTTGAGTTTAAGGAGATGGAAGGAATACTTTGAAAGCGTGTTTATGAGTGATGAGACGTTTGAATTAAATGAAATAGAAATTCCGAAAGAAGAGGAAATAGATAGAGACATACATAAGTATAGATGAAATAATGAAAGCAATAAAAAGTATAAAAGCAGGTAAGGCAGCCGGATATGATAGAGTATCTCTCGAAATGCTAAGGGCAGGAGAAGGAGTGGTGGCAGACCTGGTGTACACTTTGTTTAATTTATTTTGGGAACTTAAGCGGGTACCGGTAGACTGTTGCAAAGCCGTAATAGTCCCAATATATAAAGGAAAAGGATCACAGCAGGACTGTAAAAACTACCGTGGTATCAGCCTTCTTAGCATTATGGCAAAACTGTATGCTAAGGTACTAATTGAAAAAGTTATGAAAGAAGCTGATGGAAAAATTTGGGATGGGCAAACGGGATTTAGAAAGGGAATGGGATGTACAGATCAGGTCTTTTCCATGCGCATGATCGCGGAGAAGTTTTTGGTCAAAAACCAAAAAGTTTATTGTGCGTTCGTGGACTTGGAAATGCTTATGACAGATTGGACAGGGGTATGTTATGGCAAACACTGAACTCATTTGGGTTGAGCGCTGGGTTGATACAGGCATTGAAGTCTCTGTATAGGGACTCTAGTGCTTGTGTCAGGATCAACGGGGCCTACTCGGACTGGTTTGGCATCCATAAAGGTGTCAGACAGGGCTGTGTGGCTTCCCCGTGGCTGTTTGGCCTATTTATGGTCAGTTGTTTGGAAAATTTGAAAGTAGAAGAATGCGGTTTAAGAATTGGTGAGTTAACCGTCAAATGCCTTTTGTACGCCGATGATCAAGTTATACTTGCGTCGTCGGCGGCCGAGTTGCAAATAATGGTTACATCAATGAACAGGACATTAAAAGAAAAGGGAATGAAAGTGAACGCAAGTAAGACGAAAGTTATGGTTTTTAAAAGAGAAGAAAGTAAAACTATATGTGAAATAAGAATAGAAGGGGAGTAGGTGAGTTTGTGTATTTGGGATGTGTATTTAGCAGGAATGGTAGACATGATAAGGATATAGAACGACGAGTGAATGCAGGAAATAGAGTGAATGGGGCTCTACATCCTATTGTGAGAAGTCAGAATGTGTCCAAAAAGGCAGGTATGGCAATTCACAGTGCTGTGTTAGTCCCTACTTTAATGTATGGTAGTGAAAGTTGGGTGTGGCAGAAGAAGCACGAGAGTATAATAAATGCTGTAGAAATGCGGTCATTAAGGAGTATGTTAGGTATGAATCTGAATGACAGAGTGAGAAATTGTGTGATAAGAGAAGAGTGTGGTTTGCAAGATGATGTTGTGACCAGGATTAAGAAAGGAATGCTTCGGTGGTTTGGTCATGTAGAAAGAATGAATGAGGAAAGAGTGACAAAGCAAATTTATGTTGCAGAGGTGAATGGCAGAGTCGGGAGGGTCGCCCTAGGCGAAACTTTATCGACCAAATTGGCGATATATTGAAAATGGGCCAAATCAAGAGTAACTTTAACCGACGAGCGTGTATGCGTAGGTATTTGGATGTGGAGGAAGCGAGAGAAATGTGTCAGGATCATGCCAAATGGTAGTCTCTGCCTACTCCTCTGGGGGACAGGCGTGAGTGTTTATGTTATATTAAAGTTGACAAAAAATTACCTACTTTGCGTACATCCGCTCGATAAAATAAAATGATGTGTCTTACCTAGTTTGAAGAGCACCTCCCGCCTTCTCTCAATTGCGTGCACTATCCCCGTCACAAACTAACTCAAACTAGCTCTTCAAACTAGGTAAGACACATCATTTTATTTTATCGAGCGGATGTACGCAAATTAATTTTTTGTCAACTTTAATATAATGGACTTCCGCAAAGTAACGCCTGATTCTATTTATTAATGTTTATATTATGTTAAACTGTGCTATTGCGGTAGGTGGTGCGATGAGTTTTTAGTGATTTTTAAATACAAATTATTTGACTGAGCACCACCTACCTCATAATATAATGTCTCATATATTTGCCATAGTTGTCACGCTTGGCAGGCCGGTTGTTATACCTACATGTCATTGTTCTTGTTATTAGAAAGATACTGCTGCTCATTTTCTATTTAATTTCTCTGTCACCTCTTACAATAGGTACCCACGGGTAGAGTTGCCATCTGTCCGGCTTTAGCCGGACATGTTTGGCTTTTTCGGGTTGTGTGCGGCCAAATTTTTATGTCTCGGGCCTGTCCGGCTCTTGTTAGGCTTTTTGTTAGTGTAACGCGTTGCACGCATCGCTTGCAGAATAAATAAATAAGTAACGTATACACTTAAAACTGTGCTGTGATTGATTAATAAACAATTAACGTATGTAACGGAGTAAAGTAATTTTACTTACGCCGGCTATAAGTGTGTGTGTGTGTGTGTGTTTTAAGAGCTATCTAATTCTTCTTATGGTTTAGCACTCCCTTTTTGCAATTAAGTTACCTATTATGAATGTATTATTTTTAGATTGTTGGATATTAACGTTTTAAAACGTTATTCATAAAAGCGCCATCTTTTGGGCTACCAGAGCGTTAACAAGTATTGTTTGTTACTAAAGTGTCTAGGTAAAAATTTAATAATTTCTTTTAACAACAGATGGCGCCTTATCCACAAAGTCCTAACGTAGGGATTAAAACATAATAGATATTAGGTATTTATTATATATTATGATTATGATTGTAATATCGAAACAATACTTTTTTGAAATTCCATTTGCATCCATTACAGAAGATAAAAGTCTACTGCTGAACGTAGGCCTCGCACCTAGATTGCCTCATAGGGAGGATTTATATACCTATGTATATTTACAATATTTCTTGGTCAATTTAGGGCCTCCTTCCTTATATATAGCCATTTCTTAGGTCAGTCCCACTTCAGCTTACGAATCTGTTTTTTTGGTTTTGTTGGTCCAAAATGGAACAGTTGTAATTCTTCAGTGGATATCCTCGTTATCGGTTTGGGCAGGAACAGATTGAGCTTCTTCTAGGGCCAATAGTTAAGGGTCACGTATTAGCTCTTTAAGTAGTTCAAATTATAACTAGTAACAGACATTCGAAAATCACCGTTATAAATTACAAGTTATAAGTTATCAAGCAGAAGAAGAGTCGTCTCTTCTTAGCTCGCCGAGTGACTGAGCATAATCATACGGGCAGTCTTATTTTGCTCGGCCCCAGTT